ATATTTAATTGTTTTACGTTACTTAGTTACGGTCGCTTTACGTTAGTAGGAGAGAGAGAGAGAGTAGAGGTGCGTGTGCTTCACATTGTCAAGACGGAGTCCAACCCTTTTGTTTCCTACAATCAAAGCAACCCCTCGTACTTCAGGTTCACACAGCATTATAGGATCATCCACGGAAAACTGAATCTCATTCCCAGCAAACATTGCCAATGGTGTCAGTATCACTCTATTATCCACAAATCATGTCAGTATCACTCTATCATACACAAATCCCATCTCTTTTAGTCGCATAAAATACCTAATCCCTCGTTTATCGAACTCCCTGCAAAAAATGGAGGTCACAAACATTATTGTTCTTTAAATATCAAAACGGGTGGTGGTTTTAAGAGCATCATTGAATAAACACTAAGTTCCAAAAATAAAATATTCTCGAATTTAATGATTGATCCCAAATCATCTAATTTCACATCTAATGAATAAAAATGATTGTGACCTCGTTATACAAAACATAAATAATCGCTTTTTATTTACATTATAAACATTATTAGTGTAGTCTTCTACATCGACTCCCCCGGGTGAATTTTTTTGGTCATCGTAGACAAAAATACCCCTCAAACTAATACAAAAGGCTTCAAGTGTAAACCGGTTTGACCCTTAAAGTGCAAGACCGACCTTGGCTCCAAGAAATTTCCCCTAGGCCAAACCGCCCTTAAATTTAAATTTTGTCAGAGGTACTTTGGTCTAAAATGATTTAAAAGTTCACTTGGGGAAAATCATAACAAAGTATATAATGTGAATAAAAAAGTATCAAGGGAGTCTATGGAAAAAAATTTCACGGTAGGGATTTATATAAATTTCCTATTTTTAAAAGTTTTTTTTTTTTATTTTTTATTTTTTTTTAAAAAGAACGAACTAGCTGCAAACGGAGCGAAAAGGACTTCTCTATCCATAATAACAATAGTAACCCCCAACTTTCATATTCGATGAATGTAATTACCACAGGCCCAAGGCAAAGGCAACACAAAATACATCGTCTCTATTGTGTATGACGATGTATCCAAAACTATGGCCAACAAAATAAGATCAAACTAGGCGATTCGGCATTGCATGGACAGTATTTAAAACCTGCCACAATAATGCATATTTTAGGATAATTTCTGCAAGATGGGTTTGTTATAACAGTAAGAACAAATGAGCTCCATTTTCATGGTTGTACAAAAATGATATCAAGGTTGGGAACTGAGCAGCTTGTGACAAGAAAGTAATCATTAAATATCGGATAAAGCAACGCCCCTTTGCAACAAAAACCTGAAAGATGGGGTGCAGGTGCTTCATGTCCGGAGATCATCAGACATGGCTGCAGGTATGCAGTGGGTTGTCAAGATGTCAACTGTTGCAGCCCTGGCTGTCTTTGTCTCGAGAACGACAATCTGAAAGTTTGGCAAAATGGAATATACCATCAGTTGAATGAATGAGAAAAACAGAGACGAGAATAACAAACAATGAAAACCCATGATAAAGAAAGAAACAATGAAGAAGACTATGGGCCCGTTTCAGACAAGTATAAGTAAAGGCAGCTTTATTCATGCAAGCCGTTCTATCCGGCTTTGGTGCCAAGCTGATAACTACATCAAATTGACCCTGATTGTATGTAAAACACGGATTATTGGGGATGGGCAAACTTAAAAAAACTGCTGTGCCAATGTTCCCAATGCGGGGTTTGGTATGGCAATTTACAAACCAAATCCAACCGGTCATAATGATACCTAAGAGAGAGAGTGAGAGAGAGAGATTAAGCATAGGAGACCTACAAGGGACAAGGGATCAACAAAGTATATATATCTAACATCTACAAATAACTTCCTTTGCAGGAGTTAGGATTTGAGCGTTCCCATGGATGTGGGTGTGTGTGTGGGAGGAGGAAGGGAGGGAGGGAGGGAGGGAAAGAGAGAGAGAGAGGGAGAGCATAAAAACATTAAACATAGGAGACCTACAAGGCAAAAGGATAGATAAGGGTAAATAAGCAACATCCACAAACAAATTTGTTTGAAGCAGTTGGGATTCAACTGTTCGTGTGTATTTTGTTACACAGAGAGAGAGAGAGAGAGAGAGAGACCTGTTGGTAATCCAAGTTGAATTGCAAAAACTCGCCCTCATAGTTCTCCACAAGGTTAGCCAGGTGCTTTAGATTTTTTATCGGTTGGCCATTAAATGCGAGAACCTGGGCTTACACAAATAAAAAGAGTTGCACAAAATGATCAGTAAAAAGAGGGAAGCCAAAGCCAAAACTTTACAGAAACCAACCTGAGTGTTGACAATATCTTCGTAACCTATGTTTATGTCAGCCACAAGGACCTGCAATATTCAATTGAGGAAAAGCTTTCAAATTCAAAGTCCTAAAAGAACTTGATAAAAGAGATCCCAAAATCCGCAGAGAAAATCACAGATGCAATGTAAGAGACCTGAGAAACCACCACCAGCTGTTCATCTTCTGTTTGTGACATTGAATGCAAGAGTTTGTCCAGCAGTTTGACAGGAGAGTCATAGTCATAATCTTTTCCATACTGAAATTAATCAAACATCAAATTCAGTACAGGAAGACCCAATTGCATTAATTTTCATCTCCCTCCCTCACACTCCTCACACATGCAAACATACACATCAATGATAAATTCGTACGACATCCCAAATTGAGAAATGGCAAAGGTTCTTCCAAGACCCAAATCCAGCACAAACAAGCCATGCAAGGTCCCTTCAATGACCCAATAGTCAAACCAAATTAACGTGGAAACCATCTTGGCTAGGTCCCTTAATCAGAGGCAGTATTCACATCTCAATTCATGAACAGCTGATATTCACTAAGTTGATGCACAACCCTAGCCAAATTATGTAATCCTCAATATCAGTACCCATCCAAGCATTTTTCTTTAAACCACGCCATCCAAGCATTACATCTATAAACCCTCAACATTGTATGTTTTACCCTTGAAAAGAGAGAATGCATCAAAAGACAGTCCATTAAATCAAAAAAATCCGTACACATAAAAGTAAATCCAAACAAGTCACAGCCTCAAAGATGATCTATTTGGAGAACCTCATGGATATTCACAAGCCAACTTAAAGTCAACACTCTTGGTAGGTGCAAACACACCAAATCAAATGGTTATGAATTTCCTAACACTGGAACCCAGCAAAGCGTTGAAGAACAACTCGTCTCCAAACCTAAGAACAACGTCATAACTCCAAAATGATCTTGTCCCAATTCAGAGTTGAGAGTCCTACTCGGAATCCAGTAAAGTATTGAATAACAACAAATCTCTCACTGAAAGTTGAGAGTCGTACTCGGAATCCCAATCCAGCGATTTCGACAAGGAATCTTCACCGAACCCGTTTCTTGTGAAGTTTGGAATCTCGATTCCAACATCTATAGAATTTTGTTTCCAATATTTACTGATTCTCAATTCCGCAATTGGTAAATCTCGAGTCTACACTTGTTGAAACAATACTTGACTTGATTGTTTCCAAATCCATATTCCTGAACAACAAGTACCACGTTTTGAAGAGCAAGAAACAACGAACCAATCAAACATCGAATCTTGTGTCCACCCTCATAGAACCTTTTTTCTTTTCAATCGTTATACCACAAAATCAAATACTAATATTCTAAGTGCATATATATGTGACTTACAAATTCACTGACGTATTTATTGATTTTGATATAAGTTATTTGGAAACTAAACTAGAGACGATTATCTTCCAAAGTTCATGTGTGCTTCAAACAAAAATCTGATGAACACACTGCAGAAGTTTTGGTTCCACAGATCAACATTCCAATGCAAAAATCTAAAGTTAAGTTCTTAACACGTTTAATTCTAATGCCTTTTGCAGGTAACAATGGCAAGCATAACTTCTTTTACAGGGCCTTGGAGAATTAAAATAAGATAACTTGCCCTAGCAACAACAAAAATTGAATACTCCACACCTTCACCCTTGGCATCAAAGGCACATACCCCTTCATATGGGTCGAGACTTGAATCCAAACTGGTACGAATCTCGATTCCAATCTGGGTCGAATATCGATTCCAAAATGGTATGAATCTCAATTCAAAATTCCTAGGAATCTCAATTTCAAGGATATCGGAATCTTGATTCCAAAAGGTTGGAAACTCAATTCGATTGAGCCCAGAATATCGATTCCATCTATGTAGGGATCTCAATTCTATTTCGGTCCAATCTCAATTCCTATAAAATAATCTCATTTCCCACAATTCTACTTGTACGGACGTCGATTCCAAAAGCAAGAGTCTTCTAGCCGGCCATGATTCTGAAATTCTGATTCCTAAAACAATTCAGATTCGGAATCGTTCCAACAACTATGATCTTGTCAATGAAAAAATCCACTCACCTATCTTAAAATCCCTCGCCTAAGCACCATATGACATAGCCAGCCCTCCCTCCCCTTGAAAACAACTATGATCTTGTCAATGAAAATCAACTCACCAATCTTAAAATCCCTCGCCTAAGCACATTATGGCATAGCCAGCCCTCCCTCCTCTTGAAAAAGTCCCTTGCAAGTCTAAAAAAAAACTGAACCCCCTTTTGAGACTTACCACATAGATGTGAGAACAAAGCTTGCCTCTGGTACCCTCCCCAATCTCTCTCCAAAACATTACCAAAAAGCTCTTTCTACCTTGTGATGCCTCGGACACCAAGCACACACAGGGAGCTTTCAAAATTCTAAGGAAGCTCAACTTTACAACCTAATTGAAGACCACATCCTTCAAGTAGGCTCTCAACAATGCCCATCACAAGGGTTCAATAAGGTTAATCCCTTTTCCGGAACACCATTTCATGCTATCTAGTGGTAAATCATTTCTTCTCTCCCTTTTCAAGAGGTGCTCCACAAGGATTAAAATCTCACCTGGGTTGATGGACCACATTCCCACCATTGCGATGGATATCCATCGGACTAATGAATCCTAGGAACTCTTCTTGCAAATTGTCAACCCCATAGCCCTTCCTCTTTTCATCAAATATCTAATGACATCAAAAACTATGAAACACGTCACAACTCAAGCCATAAGCTTCTCATTAAGTACAACTCTGGTAATAACTCTTCACTTCTTCAGGATATCCCAACTCATTAACTCCAAAGCAATCCTTCAGCTAATATCTGAGGTCGAAGAGATAACAAAACTTTCCCAATACCACAGCAGTCCACTTCCCAATAGATTTAGCATCCAATATAACGATGAATGCCTTTCGCTGTCCCTTGTGATGAGAGTGGAACCCAACCACCCAAATTCCTCCCCCATAGGGTGTTCATACGTGAATAATCTAACCTATCAAGCTTCCACAAATAGATCAAGACATCATCCATCACAATCTCGTTTAATTTCAACACCCTAGTTCTAGTAAAGCTCTGAAAATTCCACCACAAAAGTTTCATCAATAATTAGATTATAAATTCCAAAAACCAGACCTTGCTGGTGTGCATCATCAATTATCCCCTCTATGTACTTTAGCTAATTGAGGACACCAGATTCTACCTTCAATTCATTAGTGCTCCTCTACATTGCAACCCCACTTCCCCATCTCATGGCTCCAACAATAGTATAATGACACGAGATGCTACAATGAATTCGTTGATGGAGATGATAAACACCCAAATAAGTCCACTTCAAAATATTTTTTTTATTAAGAACATAATGATCTCAATCTAATTCGCTTCATCTCATGTGATAACAATTATACGAGAAGATATTGGCAGCATAATACTTAACTGGAATGTAAAATGTATGCATGAGCAGGTGTATATACTGCATACATATGAGGATACATGTCACTTCACATCTCGGTATATCATCTTGCCCTCTTCTTTTAATGTCTCTTTAAGAGGCTTTCTTTTAGAGAAATTATCATTGTGGGGTTAAAACCATCTTACAAAACCATTACAAAGGTCAAATGATCTTAATTAACATTAGATGGTTTACTTTTTTATTTTCATTTCACTTAGAAACCTTATCAAAGAATATGGTAAAAAAATGCACAAACTGTACCTATACGGAGTGGGAACCGTAACAAGCAGGGCAATCTAGTAATTTGTCCCATGTTAGTGGCCCGAGTGAAATGATAGGAGTACCCTTAAGTTTGGACAAATTATTAAATGCCTCATTTGTTTAGGGTTTCCCAATTATTTAGGGGCAACACAAGCATTTTGTAACATATTTTTTGATGAGGTACCTGAGTGAAATAAAAATTAAAAAGTAAATCTTCCAATACTAATTAGGATCACTTGACCTCCTTAATGATTTTATAAAATTGTTTGACCTCTTGAATGACATTTTCCCTTTCTTTAAAGGGTTTTACAGGTTGCTCCCTCCTTGAGAGGCCATAAAAGTATTTCTTATCAAATATTTAATAATTTTTTATTGAGAATGTTATTAATCCACAATCTACATTCTATATACATTTTATATCACACCATAGTATGTTATTCCAGCTAGTATATAGAACCAAGCATCATACATAGACATGATAGATAACCCTGAAAACTTCCATTATGTTCTAAATAATACCTGAGGGTCACTTCAACATAAAATTTCTCCAGCCTCATTCAAAACAAAACTGCGTGAGATGTTCCCCAAAAGATTGGCACTCTATGATCTATCACTGGATTCAATATATTCCTAAAAGATTATCGTATCTGGCAACTAACATTGGTAAAGGTTCTCTCTGAAAGATTCTCTCTCTCTCTCTCTCTCTCTCATGGTTCACTTAAGGGAGCATATCCAACACTCCTACCAATTAGAGTAAGGTATTCAGTACAACCATCCATCATCAGTAGTTATCAACAGAAGATGGGGATGAGCATTTGAACAGCTTTTCAGCTTGTCTTGGTCATCAGCAGAACAGCTCCTCATCTCTGCCCATTAATCAGTAGGGACAGTGAATGGTGACATTGAGTACCTTACACCATACTCGTTAAGTCCTTGATATGTATGAGATGTACATGCATAATTATAGGAAAACCAGTAATGAGGGAAGATGTAGAGAACCCCTCTTGCCAGCTGTTAGATGCGACCTGTAGCATAAAGGCAACCTCAAAATTTGTGCATCTATCACAAATTTCTTGAAAAGACAGTTTAATCCACGGGCAACTCAACTCTAATCTCGCCTGCAAAATCACATTTTATGAGTTTCCCTTGACAATGAGGGGACCCCATTCTGGTAGATACAATTAAAATTGAAGGATGCAATAGTTTTCGCTAAGTAGAATGCCCATGTTGTCGCAATTCCACCCAGACTTACTCCTGCACCACATCCTTGGACAATGCTCAAGGCTCTAGGTTGAGAAGCAGGGGCAACTTTTAATTTGTTATGAGCCCGAACAATGGATTCAATAAGTTCTTGCCAACAACTGTGGCAGCTGAATAGAAACATTAAATTGAAGGCCCAAACAAAATGAACACCTAGGGAACTTTGTGCAAAGTTTCCTCCCGTGATATGAGTTGCCACCCGTTGATTGCTTATGCTACCCCAAACATCCGCCTGCATTTTCCAACTGAAATGGAAAATTACTACCGAAATCGCATTGTATGTCCATAATAGACCTAAGAAGACATGTCAGGCAGATACTTGACATGCTCCCCCTCTTCTGGCTCTATCACAAGGGAAACAAAAACCCAGATTTGCTTTATCAGGTATCAAATAGGAGCTACGAGCAACTAGTAACACCTTTCAGTAGTATAAATACAGTCACATGGATCGTAAGTACACGTGTGGTAAATGCATGAGTGTGGTGTAGCAAAAAATTCAGTGTGGAGAGCTAGAGCCTTTGCCTCGTTGGATTTGTAATGCCTGGTTGGGCCCACGAATGTCAATAGAATGAAGCTGGAATGGGATCGAAAAAGTCTACCTATACCTATCAGGCCAGGGGTTTCCTGCTAAAGAATGTCTTGGGAAGCGACACTGCTCCAACCCACAGGGGGCCATTGTCTTTCAAGAACTGTAACTGAGATCACCCATAACTCCTGAACACAGCCCATGATAAAATCAATCACTTGATGTGTTCTCTGTGTTCGGATGGATCTACATAATTGCTTTGAAAAGTGATTCGAATTTGCTCAAGCCTTTTTTTTTTTTTGAATTGTTATTCGAATTTGCTCAAGCCATAGCAACCAGATAACGGCTGTCATGCCTATCTTCCAATGGATGAGACCCTTGAGCAGCAGCAAGGGAGAGAGTCATTGTTTTAGGAGGTCCTCAGTTGATGCAGGACAAAGTTGAAACCAAAGGATTGGAGGACTAGGGAAAATATGTATGAAGGCAACTTACAATGGAGAAACAGATGTCACACTGACTCTACCTGCACTTTGCACATGATGCACCTCTTCTGAATAAAGTTACTCAAGCATTGTGGTCATTACTATAGGCATACCCATTGGCTTCATCTCAACAGAGAACAATAGCAAAAGGGCAGCCATCCAACATTGCTACAGTCAGATGGTATTTTTTTTCACCACTGTTTCTGTACACAAGGGTTACCCAAACATTCAGGTTGCTATGCAACATTGGCTCCATCATCAACTGGGGATAGAGCATATCTTTTTTAGAGTAAATTGACTATGTATTAATAAAATAAGGAAGTACAACGGATTGGTAGATACTAGATACCAAAACAGCAAGGGGCCTAAAGAAGAACCCCTAAGGGTTCAGGAGAGCTATATGGGGATAGAGCATATCCATGTGACTTTTGTGATTCCTGCTCAACTTATGGCTTCCAAAAACCACAAAAAGTATTTTAAGATCACAAACTGTGCAATGGATTTTTCTAGTCAATGATGTAAAAAGATTGAGCTCCACCAAGGTGGCCAGGGGGAGTCTGTCCAAACGCTCATCCATGCATATATATGTATAACTTTTGCATATATATAAGAAAGGGCCCAAGATCTGGGCAGGGTGGTAGTACCAAAACATGACATTGCTGGTTCCATTCCTACCTACCATATACCTATTAATATGTATGAACATTTTACAATCATTTGTAGCAGGATTGATCCTCAATGTTTGGGTTGAATATCAAGCTCTAAATCACAAAAATCTTCTAATAGCCACTCTTGGAGTTCGCAATGAATCCAACAAAAAAAAGGTTAGGTTTGATCTTCTAGAACATTTTCGATCTCAAAAAAAAATTGTAAAATGAATGTATTTTGGATTTTTTATTTTCTTTTGAAACCCTAACATCAGGTTCTTCTTTTTTCTTTGTTTTTATTTTTCTTTTTCTCTTTTGGGTTTTGGGAGTTTTTTTGTTTTTTTGGGGGGTGGGGATGGGAGTTAAAATGTCCCCCAACCGTACTACCCAAGAAAAATAAAAGAATTCTCCCCTTCATCCCCTTAAGAAGGGGAAAAAAATAAACCAAATGCCCCTTACATGAGGGAGATTTCCACCATTAGGCAAGGGGAGACCAAGGAAGGAACCTCCATTAAGGAGGCCAAGACCACCAACCTAGGCCTAGGCAGGGTGCTCTAGGGCGACCGTCTGGGAGCTAGACAGTCCATATTATTTGAACGATGTTTCCAGTAAAAACTGCAGCAACTGCAAATTCTTTCTACCTTTCTTTTTCTTGGGCTGGAACTCAAACCCAAAGACTATTTCAAGAGACAAGACTAACCATTTTAATTTTTATGGACCTCAGAAACAAGAGCAATCTGAAGAACTAACTGATCATTCTCAAAAAAAAAAAAATTTCATCGCTACATTTCCCTTCACATTTTCACCCCTCAATCATTTATTTTTTGGGAATTCAAAGGATGCTTGAGGATACTATTCAAGCAAGGTATCACCATTAATATTAGATGGTAGTTCTTCATGCTCAAGGACATCCCCCGCTACAAAATGGCTTCACATGTCAACATAAAAGATGGACAGATGTAAAAGTTGTTGATACATCACAGGGGTTTTACACGTGGTAAGAATAAGCTGGATAAAATGCCTTAATCATGAACTAATCTCTACAATATTTTCAGAGACAACAACTCACCAAGTACATGGTGAGTTCCTGGGATCTCCCAACCTAGGGGGCAATCTCGCTCTGGAATGTCTTTCCCGCGCTTCAGGAAAACGATCTTCAAGCAATATCAATTATTAATTATGGGATCATGATCCCCTCTATGAGGGATCTCCATCTTCATTGTTAAGGACAACAATCCCCACCTCAAAGTCCAAGATAACTACCAAATTGACGACTTTCTTTATTTCACAAGCAATGCAACTATACTTTTAATATGCTTGTATTACTTACCGGCTATAAATAAAGAGATCCATAAAATAAATAATATATATAGTTTTACACTATATATACTCTTTAAGGTTGGGAGCAAGATCCGCCAAAAGGTTGGAATTGAGATCCCATGAGATCAGGATCTTTTGCGATCAAGATACAACACCCCAGACCATAGAGATCTTCTAGCCTCTCACAATCCCCCAATCCCAATTCTGATCCCATTCCCGGTCCAGCTTTTGATCCCAACAGCTATGATGTACTATCATATCAAAATCAGATTAAATCCAGCACCCATCCATTTTTATGGAACTGCCGATGCCCAGTGGAAAGATCACCATTCTATATAGATAAATATTCCACTGAACTCCTCAAATGAACTTGATAAGCCTAATCTCGGTCTGTTTAACAACTAGATGAAGCATTATTATCCACTGAAACATAAATTGATAACTGGAAAAAACTTACTCACATTGACCACTAAATAGAATAAAAAGGCTAGTTAAATTATTGACCAAGGCATTTAAATCCAAAGACTTGAAATATGCATCCTTACCCTCGTACAAAACTGGAAACACTACCAATATGGTCCATAGGACACAAACCATAGTAATCGCAACAAAAAGATCATTTCTATATAAAGCAAAATCCTCCAGACAAGGAAACAAAACTTCACAAACGGCTAATGCTTCAGATGATCCCTTTGTATTTTTCGTGAAGAAATGAAGACTAATCATTTGAGCTCAAATAATAACCATTCTCAAGGCTACCATAATTTATGGAACTCAAAGAGCATGCTGCCATTCCGAAACAAGATACCTTTAAGCTGCATTAAACTGGCATAAGAACCCTTTAGTGATGTATCACAAAGAACAAGTGAAAAAACAATTAGATATAGTTTTCAACATACAGATCCAAGACCCATACATAAGTACATTTGATTTAAGTTCTTCTATTAGGTCCTTTGATCAGGAAGCATTTTATAACAGTTATATTCTCCAGTAATTAACAAATATCTGGAGAAATTAAACCCATCAAGATTAGACTACAGTAGTCTTGAAAAGCCTACCTCAGATCGAAGATACGGTACTGATATAGCTGAGAAAACAAATCCAGCAATGATGTAATATGATGGTGGCTTCCCTTTGATGTGTGCTGGGACAAGACGTTTATGTGTTGCAAGTTCTACTTTATATTCAAGGATCTTTGCATTGCGGAGAATCTTTATTTTGGCAGTCTCTCCAGTATATTTCTGAGAGACAAGGTAACTAAAGCCAATCCGTTCCCCATGCCTGAAAGGAACTAGAGAACCACAGAGAACACAGCAAAAGTTAACAGAAGCACCCAAAGAAATCTGCAGGTAGAACTGAAATATTGTAGCTATTTTGACAATTAAAAGGGAACCAGATGCATATAATAGTATAAATTGGACACATTTATCTCATGGAAAGAAGTTGCATTCCAAAGAGAAAATAAGAATTTACATCTGATCTTTTGAATGAATTTAAGGTCAAGATGATAAGGTTATTTTTAGGAATGCAAATCTCATGACCATTACAAACTCCAAGGCGCCTGGCATGCCCATGTGCCGTCATCTTGGCAGGAATTCCTTCAAAATTGGGAACCCACGGTTTTTTAAGATTTTTCCATACCCATGTTCCCTGAAGCGACACTTTGTTCCACTCCTTTTTTCCTGAACTTTCATTGCCTCGGTTGAACATGTTTAAAAACGCCGTCTGCCCAAGCCGTGCTGACTCGGGAGGCAACGTTTTTAAAGAACTCATAGTTAAATATATGTCATGCCGAAGTGAGAGGGTTAAAACATCAAAGTTAGTAGGCCAGTTTCTTTTCTCGATAAATTTAAAAGTTGTAATCAACACCATGACACACCTTGAAACAGGTCTTATAACATCTCAGACCCAAATGTTGCCCTATGGTCCATAAAACAAACAGAATCCTGACAATTATGCTGTCTACAGGAACTAAATGAAAACCTATGAATGACTAGACCATTGAGTAAAAGCAGATCAAACTACTGAAATCACACAACCTAGAGACGAGCCCAAAAAATACATCGGAGTGTAGAAACTTAAAGAACTCCCTATCCTCCAATCTGACATACATGCCTACCTCTAAACTCTTGGTTCAGATTTTGATACCTCAATTTGACACAGCTTCTACATTGTCAGTGATTTCTATTCAAGAAAAAAAAAATTCTTTTTTTGAAACGTTAACATTGTATTACTGAGCCAGTAATGGTTACAAAATTGGGAATACCGAGAGCCCCCAGATGGGTAGCTCTTGGCAAAATATTCGACAGAGAGCCATATACAAAAAAGGCTTATAATAGTCGCCCATTTACAATGATTTACAGTGGGTAGCCAAAAAAATAAAACCAAAAACCAGGGAAGACACTTTCGAAGCTACTAAGAGAGCCTGTGGTCCGTGACAAAAAAGGAGCAGGACCCAACATTATCTTCTTCTTGCACTCTAGCTCCCTCCTTCACCATGAGATCTGCGAACTCGTTAGACGCCCGCCATATATGCCTCCAAGAGCGTCCATATCCCTGCAAATGTGAAAGATTTCATTAAAAATGGTGGTCAGTTGCCATGGGGGGATCTTCCCACTTGCCCAAGAGATTGTATTGTGGGAGTCTCCTTCCACAATGAGGCGTGCTCCCCAAGACTGGTTGAACTTTTTCAGCCCTAGTAGCAGAGCCATAACCTCTGCATATTGGGAGTCACCACTACCGAGACATTCGGAGTATGTTAAGAGGACTTTCCGGTGGCGGTCTCTAAAAACTCCTCCCGCGCCAGCCGGGCCAAGATTCCCAATTGAACTACCATCAAAGTTTAACTTAATGCAGCCCGCAAGTGGGGGCTGCAAGTTGTTGTGTCTTATAGCCTTTCTCAGTTGCTGGTAAAGAATGTTCCCCCATTGACTATGGAAGAAGTTCTTTGGAATGCCCGCAAATGGAGACCAAGGTATTGATCCTGTGAAAGAGAGCTAGGTTGGTAGTTTTATACCTTGAAAAACTTTGTTATTCCTTTCAACCCATATAGTCCATATGGTAGCCGCTACAATAGCTTTCCACAGAGTTTAACCAGCTTTTGGCCAATGGGAGTCCAAGTTGTAAGAGATGAGGGCTCTGAGCGAGGATGGCGTGACCCACTGGTTACCGAACAGTTGTATTACCATACCCCACAGACCATATGCGACCTTGCAAAGAAGGAAGAGGAGAGGGTTAGATTCCTCCTCAGAAAGACATAAGGCGCATCTATTGGGGATGGGGATCCCCCTTTTTTGGAGTTGGTCCACCGTGAGGACTCTGTTGGATGCAGCAATCCAGTTAAAGGTTTGCACCTTGGGAGGGGCAATGGTCACCCACACTTTTGCCAAGACTGATGGCGGGTTGGCAGGAAGGGTAGGGGCCTGACAAAGGCTCTTATAGAAAGAGGCAACTGTGAAAAGACCAGTAGGAGTACACATCCACACCATAGAATCAGTCCCATTTAAGGGAATGAAACTTGAATGTAGCGCGCAGCTGAGAGAATGTGAAAGTGCAAGGCTTCCTCATCAGTGAGGTGCCTTTGGAAAACAAGGTTCCAGATTCTGCGGCCCCCTATTAGCATCATTTACTCAGCAACGGTGGAGTGTTTGTTAGTGGCTAGAGAGAACAGGGTTGGGAAATATCATATGAACAGCAGCAAGAAAACATTAGTTTGCTCAAACACAACCTCACAATAACCCCTTAGCAACCAAGCTACGTTGAATCATGATTTTGGCAAGTTAGCCAGCCAAGCTATGTTAGGGAATGACGAGATAATTTGGCATATTCAGTAAGGGACAAAATATATAATAAAGCATACAGATACAGATATAAATGATATGTGTGACCAAGGATGTTTCAAAATTTTGAATTCAACAATTAATGTTCCAAGAATGTTGAAACTACTCATTCTTTGAGAACAAAGCCATTGAACTAGTTATATTCAATTGTATTCTATGATTAAACTTTGAAAAAGAATTTACTAACATGCTCATTGGAATCCATGTAGGTTTGAATGGAAGGCATGCATTATGATCAGCCAACAACAAAATACATAACAGAGCGACCATTATCAATAGACCAAAAACTATATCCATTTTCTAGTGATTGCATGTTATTTTTTGAATCTACTGATTGCATGAACAAGGCCGCTTGAAGGGCTTTACAACCTCTAGAAATGAACCCATCGGCCGCGTGCCAACGATACAATCATTATTTGTGAGGTTCGCCCAAACAGCTCGCCAACCTCAGGTTGTTTAAGACCACAATGCATGGTATTAAGCTTGGAGATGAAGCTGTGCAAGGATTGAGTGTAACAGTAGAAAGACTGCCCTCAAAATGTTTAGGATAGGCCTATTCTTATGCATTGGTATTGCCCAGAAAGCACCTTTGGGATACCATCATAGGGAAGTTTGATCGAAGGCTGGCCTGATGCAAAGGCAGATTCTTATCCCTAGAGGGAAGGGTCACCTTAAATCCACCCTATCAAGCATTCTTATATTCTAGATGTCCCTCCTTGTGCTGGCATCAGTGGTATCCAAAATAGAGAGTGGTATGAGGAACTTTCTGCAGGCAAGGGCCAATGGTGAACACAAATTCCACCTGATTGTCCCGGGTCGTGTGTGTTGATCCAAAAAACCTAGAGGCCTCAGCATAAGAAGGCTAAGAGAAAATAATCTGGCTTTGTTGGGAAAGTGGTAGACGAGATTTGCAAGCAATAAGGGCCAGCTGCAGAGGTAGGTAATTGTAGCAAAATACAACATTGAAATTGGGGGATGGTCCCGAAAGCGCCCACCCCACAGAGCATCAGGTGAATGGAAAGCATAGCCAAGTGGAGACAAACGTTCAAGGAGGTGAATAGATTCAGAGTGGAAAGTGGGGAGCTTGTTAGATTTTGGAAAGACCTATGGGTGGGCGACCTGGTTCAGGATACACACAGGCCTGTTCTTCTCTCAATAGAAGTCAATGAAGAAGCTACCATTGCAGAAGTAGCTAAAAATAGGCAAGGAAGTCTTATTTGGTCCCCCCACCTTTAGAAGGACACTAATCAAAGGGGAAAGCTCACAACTAATTGCCCTTCTAAGCTTTCTTCAAGACTTCTTCTTCCGGCAGACTGGCCTTGATAGACTGATATAAGCCCCAGAGCCTTCAGGTAAATTCACAGTAGCCTCTTTCTACTCGAGCCTACCGTCCTACCAAACTCCCAAGACCATCTTCAACAACATTTGGGTCTCCCCAGTCCCTCACAAGGTACAGGCTCTTGGCTGGATCTTGGCATCAGGAGAACTAAAAGGATACCAACTTTAAAAAAGACACATTCAATTGCCAAATAGGTGTATCATGTGTTTGCACCAACAAGGAACACATGACCACCTTTCTTGCATTGCGAAGTAGCATCCCAGTTGCGGTCCACCTTACTCCAATTCTTTGAGTGGGAAAGGGTCACCCCGCAGTCCACCCCACAACTCCTACCGGCATTTCTAGTGCACCAACTACCCAAGATAGGCCCCCTACTTTGGATGGCCTCAATCATGGCCACCAAGTGGGGCATCTGGAAAGAGGAATGACCACATTTTCTTGGGTGAGATATACCGGTCCCATTATAACACTCTCTCTACTTTCTCTATCCCTCTCATCTCTCCTAATACTTTTGTAATGCAGTGTATTGGACCTTAACAAAGTAAAGTAGGGCTACATGCCACATTTTGTATAGAGCTCCTAATTTTGTGGGTACCCGAAAAGGGTCACTTTTTCTTGTATGCATATTATCATAATCATCATCATCAACTTTTTTTTCTTGTACAAATATACTATAAATATAGTCAAACACTTCTTGAAAAAAAAAAATTTATTTTGATATTAACATGATTATATGATTAATTGTTTTTTGTTTAGCTATGTAATTCATAGCCATTCATATTTTCAAATATATTTTTATATTTCTTCCAAATGACTTTACGAAAATTTTCTACATTTTTAAGTTTTTCCCCTTAAATACTCTTTTTTTTCTTTTTTTTCTATTTTTCTTTTCTTACTTTTTTTTTACTTTTGACCAGTATGACCAGCAAACAGATCCGGTTTGACTGGTCCAATCAAACTAGTACAATACTGTCACAGGTTTGAACTCAGTCCGGTCTTAACAACGTTGATATACATTCATATATGTGAGTTGCTTTCCTCAAAACTGAGGCGCCTGCCTAGGCAGATAACCTGGCCACCAAGGCGTCAACTACATACATACATACAAACATATATAAATACATACATATACATGCAAAAATTTTTTGAAGATGGTGATATATATATATATATATATGGAAGATACTACAAAACACCTGTAGGTGAAAAGGAACAGCGATTTCACCTACCCTCATCACCATCCAAACTTCATCGCACGGTCACAGTTGTCTGGTAGCATTTCAAATTTCATTTTTTTTTAACTAATTGAAATGATCTGAAATTTGGTGCGTATGTACATCTTAGTAAGGCGCACCAAATAAAAATATGAAAAAAATAATTTGTAAAATATAAATTGGCCTAAATACCCTTATATTTATAGGGGTATTTTGGCCAATTTACATTTTACGAATTATTTTTTCATATTTTTATTAGGTGCGCCTCACTAAGATATACACATGCTCCAAATTTAGATCATTCTGATTTTTAGAAAAGAAACGAAAAATGAAACACTACCGGACAACTGTGACAATGCGATGAACTTTGGATGGTGATGAGGGTAGGCGAAATCACTGTTCATTTTCGCCTATAGGCGTTGTATATATATATATAAGTGTAGTACAGCAAACTCCAGAACTAATCATCAATGCAACGTGATGACCACATATTTGAAACTTTGAATACCTCTTCTCAAGCAAGTGCATCAGCTTCTACATTAGACTATATCCATGAGTAGCCAAATGCCAGCACTAGTTTCCTAATATGGTCCCAAATATCTTTAAAAAAGAGGTGTAACTGCCAAGACAATCCTCCCCCTTACTTAGGTAATAACAGTAGTGGAATCCCCTCTATGAGAATCTCATTCACTCTTCCAACTTGTATCTTCACATCAAACTACAATGAGCAGGGACCAGGTCTCCGCCTCATCTAAAGCACAATTGTGTTGAGGCCCAAATTAGGTCCTTAGTATCTTCTGCCAGGGTTCCTTAGGTAAGCACCCCCATTAGCAGGTCCAGGATTATCCCTGGAGCTCCCATAAAAGGTCAACTTCAACAAACCGTTTGGGGGAGTGCTCCACTTCATCGACCTACACCCTTTCAGCAATTTAGCTCTAACAATTTCCTTTCATTAAGTTTCAAAATCTGTCACAATATAGAGAATAAAAAAAAAATTCTGGAGTAAGTATTTAAAATGGGTGGGATTAAGTTAAAGAGGAGGGAACAAATCAAGAGAGGTTTGTGGAGTCTGGAAATTTCATCTTCTTTAATTTTAATGACTGAAGGTCCCCCATTTGGAGGCAAAGGAGTTACTGCAAGGATCAACAGAACCCACATGCCCTTCGACCTACGAATTGTCCATTACTTAATTTGATAGTTGCCACTGAGGTTGGGCGCTGCAAACCTCAACAATTCGACATTGTAAACAGCCCCAATATATGATCAGATAGTCTTCCAAGAAAGGGTGATTTCCCCAGGATGGAAGATACTTTGACAGGATGAAATCAACGATTCTCCCATGTAAACTGCCCAAATGATCAGATAGCTTTGATGAGAGGGTGAATTCAATTGTTGGATGAAATCTTGGATACATACAAAATAAAATGGGTACATATACAAGCACGCACAAGGTAACTGTTTGGGAATAGTATAACTGTTTCGCAGATAATTTAGTCTCTAATCCATAAGAGGAAAACACAGTGCGGCCAAATAAAAAGAAAACTGATTAGCATTACTACCCACATTTTGGGTGACAATAAAAAAACTGGGCGAATGTATGTGGCCAAACTACCCTCCTAATAGTTTTCAATTTTCATTTTCAAACAAGACCTACAAAAAAAAGGTCGGTTAGGGCACTTCTTTTTCTTTTTTTTTTAAATGGTACTTCCCAAATACATCCTTTTTAAACCCAAGATGAAACTTTTACTCGTGATTAGAAATCTTGACTCCATGAAGCATGACGCCATAATTGTTCAGTTCTCTTTCTATTATTTTAGAAGCAAAAGAAGGAAAAGATAACGACACTTCCAACTCCGTCAAAAATTAGACAAGGCCTATATGGAAATTTACCTACTCCATCACATCCCTAACACATTGGAATGTTCCAATAATATAAATAAGCATAAAGAAAGAGAGAGCTGAAAGATACAATAAAACTCATTACAATATCATATACATGAGTTGAAGTATGCTTGCAGGTGTGTATAACTATGAAGCTTAGAAGTGATACATCACATCAAGCCATTCACATAAATATGAATAGAGAAAGACATAACATAAACTTATTACAATTTCATGTGTGTGCCACTAACATACATATGCATATAAAGAAAGAGTAGAAAGATACATCAAACAACATTAGCAAATGTCATAAACATAAATCGGTGTGCAGTGATATATCATACTTCCAAGTTATAGCCAGCAGGTTAGCCACAATATCAAAATAACGTCCAATAATGAAAATACAGTCTTAGATAGGAACCAACAACTCTTAGGAAGAATCATGAAGTCTGGGGAACATACCGGTGCCATCATTAGCAATGTCGATGTCATCGAAGCTAAGGATTATATCTGATTGTTTCAAAAACTTAAATGCTGGAGCTGTGGGCTCTACTCTTCTGATACGAACCCCCTTTTGATTAGAAGTCATACCCATGGCTTTCCGCAAATCAGGATTTTCCATCTTCTGCCACTCAACCCCAAGTACAGGAAATCCTGCCATCAAACAACAACAGACACATAATGACCGAATTACAAGATGATAATGAGGATTCAATATTTAACTGTATGGAAAACTTTTACATGTACCTAATTTTACCAATGATCTAAAAAAATGGAACAGAGAATGACAAGAAAAATTGGAAATAAGAATGCAAATTCAATTAACAACCAAGAAACATAAGGTCTTATCATATATATGAGATGCACATGAGCATACCTGTATAATCCCCTGACTGTTCATAGTCTTTGATGAAATGCATGATGACAGGAGTCGGAATGACATACCCAATATTCTCCACATCTTCATGCTTAAGAGACTGAAATGCAATACCAACGCATTGGCCTTTATCATTAAAAGCAGGTCCACCAGAATTTCCCGAGTTTATAGCTGCATCAATCTGTAAAAGAAGTTTAAAAAAAGTAATAAGAACATGTCACCAAATCATCTTGCAGCACCATAAGCAGCAAGATAAAATAGAAACAAGTACTGTTTTGAGACTAAACAGATATAGTACATGATAAATAACATTGGGAAGAATGCTTGAACAAAGCAAATATGGTAATAAAGAACCAAAACAAGTGAAATCAAAGTGTTTGACCTGTAGACCTAAAAGCTCCGTGGACCCATGGACATAAGATAAGATCTCCATACGTGATACAACACCACTTGTCACAGAAATTGTGTCGCCACCTATTGGATAACCAACGACAGTAACAGCATCTTGCAAAGCAGGTAAAGATCCAAATTCCACAGGAGATACTCCTTGCCAAAACTCATCATCATTAACTGTCAGCATTGCTGCAACAGAAAAAAAGCATACATGTACTGAGAGATTTTCCACATTCAATGTCTAAATTCCAATTTTGCTTAAGCATTTCTGAATAACCTTTTTATAACCCCTCATGGAGAATGCAAAGAATAAAGTAATCGTACATTAATAAAATCAAATACCTAGTACTTGTTCTATTACAAACATTTTTTATGGTTGAGGATCACATCAAATGTACACATATAGCTACAAAAGGCGCAGAAATATGAAATATATACTATACACTAAACAGTTTCCAAAAAACAAATATGAAATATATATACTAGACACTAACATGGAGATCAGGCAGGGAGAAAAAATAGGGATAAGAGGAGTTGAGAAAGGAGGGAAAAGAAAAAAGTTGGGAGGGAGGAGAGAATGCAAACAGAAAAGGCAACTCGTCAACTACTTCCCTACACCCACACAAACAAAAGAATCTGCTTCTGAACGACCTTACAACTATAGCTCCTTGACTTGAAGGGGGAATTCCAAAATTCCCCATCCTCCAAAAGTACATAGAGACAATCACTATTAGCCAACCAATGACATTGTCAATCTCTCCCACACATCAGGGAAACTAAGAGTAATTGAGAAAGATTCCCAAGTCCCGTGAAAGGAGCTCTGGCCAGCCATCAGTGAGTTTTGAATGTCTAAAAGAATTGGAAAACACCAAAGACCCGCCATCCCAGAATGGCCTGTAGAAATTGTGCAAACCCTGACGATCTATCGTTATTACTAGCAAACATTATGGAACATGGAATTTATGAAAAGAAAATCATGAATCTATAACCAGACGTGTCAAAACTAGGTAAAAAATAAATATTATTCCATGTTAAAGCATCTAGGAAAGACATTCTAGAAAAATCATCAACATGTCAGCCTAAACATCAAATTCAGTGACACAAATAATTTGACCGGGTACAAATACTAACGTGCTCTACCAATGTAAAGCATCTTGGCAACGGCAAAGTGTCTAGGTTCAAATATTTCAATGGTGAAGTATGTATATGTAGGCAAGACATTCTACAAGAAGATTTAACAACAGCTCAATCAAAACATCCAATTCAGTGATTCAAATAATGTGAACTGGTAGAAATATGAATAAAGAATGCTAATGTAACTGAAAAGTGCCCTTCATCAACAAGAAAGAGCTAACTACTCAAATTCTCCAACAATTAGCAAATGCTTTGCTAGGAACATCTAAATCAAAAACTGAATATAAATGAAGATTAATTTTTACCAAGCAAAGAAGCAATTTTTTGTTTTGGAGTCAGTAATAAAGCTGAAACGTTAGAGCATCTATATAGCGATGACCAAGCTTAAGCAGGCGAGCTTAAAACAATGTAAGCTTGAGGATTCTTCAGGCAACTCCAACTTCGACAATAAAGACCCATAGCATCCATATCAATGATTCAAATTACACAAACTAGGCACTAACTAATACATGTATAGGTTTTTTGGGTAAAAAAAAATACGTAAACAAGACCCATAAACACATAGCAACCAAATTTAAATAAAATGTACTCTGATTCTTGAAACAAAGGAAACAAACCAAAAACACAAAAAACACAAAGCTAAAAGAAATGCACTATTCTACACAAAGCTAAATAAAGTGCTCCATTCCGCAGAAAGCCAAATGAAATGCTTTATTCTTACCAATGTCGCACTCAGTTCCAATTGCTAAAACAGTGGCCAAGTACTTTGTATCTGACCCTCTCTTCTTTAGCTTAACCTGGGTATAATGCTCAACTGAGTGAGCGTTTGTCAAAACCCTACGTCCACTAACAATGAACCCGCTACTACTAGAACTGTACTGCCTCTTTCTTTGCCATGGCAAAGAGAAATTGGGCTCAGTGTGAACGCAAAAAACCTTTACTACAGCATCCATGGAGGGAAGTACCTTCCCTAAACACTCTTTCTTTATGTCAGTTGGTGGGGGCGAAAACCTAGCATTGTTTTCAGGAATTCTCAAGCTCCTTCTTTGTGGCGAAACCAAAACCAGATCAAGCGCTCCATGTTCTCTCTCTAAAGGAGTGTCTCTCTTGGTGGCATCTCTCAAATGACCAACCCCATTGCTCTGAACTGCAACAGGGGGCAACTTCTTCGGTCTCCCCCTTTTCCGAGCAGTTGGCGCACTTTGATTGATAACCTCAACATCCATGATTGAGAAAACTGGATCCATTGAAGCGCCAGAATCGCCTGGTATTTGAGAATTAGAGGATGCACCATTCTTGTCTTTCTTACTTTTTCTTCCTCGTTTTCTAGGTGTTTCTTCCATTCTAGCGAATAAAAGGGAACTGAGAAATAGAGTTTCTTTCTCTAGGTTTTATGCAATGCCAGCCAAAACTCAGATGCCACAGAAGAATACTCCGAAGAGCCTAGTAAAGTACTCCGCCATTGAAATGGATCAAGGAGGTTCCATTTTTACCAGATGAAGATCAAAGAAGAGAAGTGTTTGATCCAAAAACCCTAATACAAATGCAGGGTTTTTTTTGCTGTCTTAAGAGGATGGGATACGACGGAAATAGACGAATGTATTGATCTGCTGCCACAAAGAAATCTATATATTGGTCTGCCGCCACAAAGAAATCTAGCGGCGCCCAAATAGGACAGCGAAGATTTGAGTATAGGGTTTGATTATATCATAGTATTTTCCCGCCGGATCATATTGCATACATACTCTCTCGGTCATAAGACTCGCTCGGGAGAATTTTTCAATCTGAAATTTCGGACGACCTAGGTATCATGGGTGATTATTTTCAAACGATCAAATTTAATATTGAATTTTCTAACAATCAGATCTTACCGTCAAAAAAATTGAATGATATATATTTTGAGGTATTATTTTTGTTAAATTGAAATTTGGATATTCTTTTAAGGGGTGGCAATGGGTCGGGCCCTGCTGGACCCAAACCCGGACACAGACCCAACCTTTCATATCCCAGAGATAGACCCGAGGTCGTGTCTTAGTTGGTGGCAATGGACCAGTTGGGTTCCTAGTTGGGTCCATTGCCACCAGCTGAGACACGTGGGTTATGATTATGAGTTTTTTTTTTTTTTGACCACTATATACTCATATTATTGGCAATATTTAAAGGAAAATTGTTTCATGTGGGCTGGACTTTTCTATATATGCTTTCCAAAAAGTGTAAAGCATCCATTTTAAAGATGGATACTTACTAACAGTCCAAATGTTTTCGTACTAGAATTATTATTTCTAACTGTCCAAAATCTAAAAACAATGGAAACTAACGGTCTAAATGTTTTCTTACTACTTATTTATTTATTTATTCAAATTCATGATCCCCATGGTAGAGATTACATGCCCTTAAAAATTAAGTCAAGAAATCCATCTCAAAAATAGATTTATTAATAGGCTTGCATTTCTACATATGCGGGATTGGCCGCATAGAAATCAGGTCCATATTTTAAATATTGTTCAACATTTAGGAATCGAAAATTGTTTCATGCGGGTTGGACGGCATTCCTACATATGTCATCCAAAAAGTGTAAAGCATCCATCTTAAAGATGGATGCAAGTGGGTGCTCCATCTATACACAATGGAAACTAACGGTCCAAATGTTTTCTTGCTAAAATTATTATTTTTAGTTTTTTAAATTTAGTTATTTTTTCATATTCATGATCTCCATGTTAGAGATTGCATGTCCTCAAAAATTAAGACTTAATATCCATCGCAAAAATATATATATATTACGAAGCCCGCATTTCTACATATGCGAGCTTGGCTGCATAGAAACTAGGTCTTTAAGGAATACCCACATGGAAAATTGTTTTATGCGGGCTGGACCGCATTTCTACAATATGCAGTCCAGATGTATAAAGCATCCATCTTAAAGATGGATGCAAATAGGTGGTCCATTTAAAACCAAGTATAACTAACGGTCGAAATGTTTTTTTAATATAATTATTATCTCTAGTTTTCCAAAAAAAATCATATTCATGATTTCTATGTTAGATATTATCTATTATCTAAAAATTATGATCCATTTATGTTTAAAAAATATATTTATTGCCAAGTCTGCATTTCTACAATATGCAGGCTCGCTGCATAAAAAACGTGTCCTACCCATATATAACCACATTCGTTACTAATTTACGTAAGGAAAAAGTTTATATAGAGCCAAGGCTCTAAACAATCAAATTTGACCTTACCTCAAAAATTTCACTAGAAGAGGTTCTTTTAATGCTCAAATATCTTCAAATTTATCATCTCGACATCAAGATGTATGTGCATGAGAAAAAAAAAAAATGGATTGCAAGTTTTAGAAATAGTGTATTTTGATACGCATTTTTTGACCGTCAATTTTCAAGTTTTCATAGATCTGTCGATCTACACTATTTTTTAAGCTTTAAACTTTATAAAGAAATACAAAAATATATTTTAAGGCTATCGCAAGGATTTCCAATATTTAAACTACATTTCTCGATACTATTTGAAGGTAGGCTATAATTTGATTGTTTAGAGCCTAGGCTATATACAAACCATAAGTTATCATAATAAATGGATATTATTAATAAACAAACTTATTGACAACATTTATGAATACCTGCATACACCAATACTATTTGGCTCCGAGTCAAGTCCAGCCAGACCCAACCTAGACCCGAAAAGTACCCGACCTTTTGAGTCCATAATTGAAACCCATAGTTATTCAGGTCCAGGTCCAAAATTTAGACGCATTTCTAGGTTCAAGGTCGGGTCTACTCCGTCGGGTCCCGATTTTGGTCGGCTCCATTATCACCCCTATATGGAACAATTGAAAGCCACCCATCCCCTTCTCTCTCTATATATGTGAAACTCGTTACATGGTAGTTGAAGAGAGTACGAAATGAAAGTTCGCCTCTCCCATGCACAAACACACTCTCTCTCTCTCCAAAGAAACCATCCCACGTGTAAAAGGCACCTCACAAAAAAAATATAAAATCTTGGTTGAGAGTTATGGCATATTATGTTGTTTGAATTTGGTTGGGTGAAATGGGAGTAAAGAATGTTATAATTTGCAAAATTGAAAGCTTAAATTTTTTTTATTTTCGGGAACGCTATCTCAAGACGATATTTACTCACCTTCGATGTAATATTTGATGTGCATAAGAAAGGCAATTCGTCATCGGGATACAAAAAACAAAGAGATCTTTTACAATGTTCCTAAACTCTATGCACCCGAGCTTGGAACCTACGCAATAGACACCAGTGTCTTAAATCTACATTTCTTGATACTATTTAAAGGTAGGTTGTAATTTGATTGTTTAGAGCCTAGGCTATATACAAACTACACTTTATCATATTAAATGGATAATCCTAATAAACAAACCTATTGGCAACATTTATGAATACCAATATACACCAATACTATTCGAGTCCGGGTCAACTCCAGCCAGACCCAACCTAGACCCGAAAAGTACCCGACCTTTTGAGTCCAAAATTTAAACCCATAATTATTCGAGTCCATGTCCAAAATTTAAACCTACTTCTAGACCCGAGGTTGGATCTACTCGTAGGGTCCCGGGTTTGGTCTGCTCCATTGCCACCCCTATGGAACAAAATCCACCCATCCCCTTCTCTCTCTATATATGTGAAACTCGTTACATGGTAGTTGAAGAGAATAGGAAATGAAAGTTCCTCTCTCCCTTGCACAAACTCCCTCTCTCTTCAAGGAAACCATCCCACGCGTAAAAGGCACCTTACAAAAAAAAAATATAAAATCTTGGTTGAGAGTTATGGCATAATATGTTGTTGGAATTTGGTTGGGTGAAATGAGAGTAAAAAATGGTACAATTTGTAAAATTGAAAGCTTGAACTCTTCTTGTTTTTTGGCAAGCATGAGCACTATCTCAAGACGATATTTGCTCACCTTCGACGTAATATTTGATGTACATAAGAAGACAATTCGTCATCGGGATATATAAAATAGAGATGTATTTTACAATGTTCCTAAACGCTATACACCCGAGCTTGGAATTCACACAATAGATACCACAGTCTTGATAGTTTAGAGAGAGGAAGACATAAAATCGAGTTGAGAGAGAGAGTTAGCCAACTAGTTTGCTTGGTAGAATTGCAAAGAATAATGCCTTGTTAAGAGGCTCACAAGTTATTCTATGTATCTCAAATTGTACGGGTAGGATAGCCCTTGTAATAGAGCACCAAGAAGTTGCCCATTTAGTGTTGTGATGGTTACATGCACCACCCAAGGCTAAAAGACCGTTGGATGTCCCACACGCATCTAGATAACCATTGGATCCCTTTATGAGCCGGGCAACGAGCCTGATCCACACACGTGCTCGGGCGAGGGGCGCCTCATGCGTCGATGGCGAGTATACAAAATGTGCCATCAAATGCCCTCGCATATGCATGTGTATGTCGCACGGCTTCACGTGCTTCGCACATGCACCTTCTCTCTCTCTTATACTAAGAGTGTATTGTATGTGAATATGTGCTCTTAAATATAACTCAACAAATTCTCTCCTCTTTAATGTGGGACCCCAACCCACATATTTCTCTCTCTACAAAAGCATCTTAGGAAAGAACAATAGGGCAATCTTTCTATGCTTCCCCTACAACATAAAACTTATATGCTTCTCCTTATCAAACCGTCCATTCTGAATGGATGGCTAAGATTGCCCCAATCACAATGTTATGTCTCTACACTATTTTTATTTTTAATTGTTTTTCTATAAACCAATTTGAAATCAAATTTTGTACGTCAAATTTTCTATTAAACTCGCACTAGTGAAAAATATAAAAAACATATACCCCTGAAAGATTTAAGGGGTATTTTGATCACTATATTTTATTTAAAAATAATTTTTAATATTTTTTATAGGTGCCCCCAATGAGAAGATGGCACGTACAAAATTTCATATTCATACAATTTGTATAAAAAAAGACTAAAAAAAAAATACTTTGAGACGTCGGATCTAAGATCAAACAGTGAGTGGCTCTTTTGATCAAAATTGGACGGCTGGATGGTAGGGGAAGTATAGATATTATATGATGTAGGGGAAGTATAGAAACTTTTTCCAAAACAATAAAATCAAAATTGTTGTTTTGAAACACACTTAACCATTTTTCAAATAAAAAATACTAACACATGAGAAGAAACAAAGCAAAGATATTTTGCTCTTTTTCTCTCTAAAGGTAGATTCTCACCCTACACGTGTGAGAGGAATATAATCCCTAATTTCAGCTTTCAGTTTTAAAACTTTAGATCGCATATAAGAAATCAAGAGATAATATAAAGAAAGCACCCTTTTCAGACACTGTTAACAAGTTGACCCTCTTTAAAGGTTGAATCTCACCCACACGTATATGGAAAATATTACTACAATTAAGCCCCTTGTTTCAACCTTCTTGGGTTCCTGAGGTGCTCACACGAACCACTGTGAACCCTGTAAGTAGTTTTAGAAAAGAAAAAGATAAAGATTGTAAAATTATTGGCTTTTTCTAAGAGAAAGTGTTTTGTGAGTCAGCGGATTAACTAGGTTGCACAATCACAAACATCCACCTTTAAGATGACCATCCACAACTAAATATTCTTATCCAATGGATAGGAAAATATTTTAATAAAA